CTTTCCTACTCAACGAATGTTCACGCAGAGGACTTGCCTTCATTGAGAATTTTAATCTGTTCTGGAATAGGCATGAGCTTTTTGAAGGGAAAGGGCCACATCTGAACACTTACGGAGTAAAAGTGTTGATGGATAACCTTTCTTTTGCCCTGAGACCTCAGCCTGCGCAGCGCGTGCAGCCATCGAAAGGGAGGAAGCCGACTCTAAAAGTCTCTGCACCTCCACCACCTCGAAGGATCTCAACACCTCCACCACCTCGAAGGATCTCAACACCTCCACCACCTCGAAGGATCTCAACACCACCACCACCTCAAAGGATCTCAACACCACCACCACCTCGAAGGATCTCAACACCATCACCGCCTCAAAGGATCTCAACACCTCCACTGTCATCAGAAGCAGCTGCATCATCACCAGCAGCAGCTGTATCATCACCAGTAGCAGCACGACCACCACCACCAACATCCTCATCCCTAGCCTGCTCCAAAGCAGCCACGCCTTCTTCATCTACAGCGCCTCTGAAGCCCCCATCCTCACCCCAGCCTACAGCAGACAGGCCTGTGCTGGGGTTTCCTCAACCACCTGCCCCTCCATCAAAGACTCCCTCGCCACCTCCCATGGACCTGTCTTGGGTCCCCCCTGCCACGTCCACTCCATCAAGAGAGAATGGGGACACCTCCCTTTGTTTTTCATCCCCGCCTTCACTGTTAGACCTACCTGAACACTCTGCAGGGCTAATAAAATCGGCGATGAAGACTATTCCTCTCACACCCATATTAGCTAGATCTAGAGTCCTCTCCAACATGCTAAACCACTCCCCATATGTACCTCCAGAACCACCTAGGGTTTCCAATTCACCTACAAAAACCACCTCAGCCAATCCCTCCCCTAACCTCATGATTCCACCCCCACTTCCCCCTCGTTCAACACCCAAAACCTCTGCCTCAGCCCACCCCGGCCCTAACTCATCACCAAAAACCCCTCCACCTCCCTGCCCCCCTCGTTCAACACCCAAAAGCCACCCACCTCTCCATCCTCCTCCCCCGCCTTCCCCTTCCCCTCTTTTCTCTAAACACTAGGATGCACAGGGTCTCTGCTTCGCAGCCACTGGCAGTCTAGTTAGAGGAGAGACCCGGCTGGAGCCCTGTCATGAAGCCACCTGTGCCATTCCCTTAGTGATAACACAAAGAATACATTACAGAAAAACATCTGGAGGTAATCAGTCTAATCTGGAAAATCTAATTCTTGTTCCGTGTAAGAATCAGCCGACCACAACCGCTGATACTGAAACTTTGAAACTTGCTACGCTTAATGTCAGATCTCTTTGTAACAAGTCTTTTTTAATCAATAATTTTATTTGTTCTCATAATCTTGATCTTATGTTCATGGCTGAAACATGGCTTGATCAAAATTCAGGAAATGCAGTTTTAATAGAAGCATCACCACCAAATTTCAAGTTTGAATCTGAAATACGGGAAAACAAAAAAGGAGGAGGCTTAGCTGCCATTTTTAGAGACCACTTTGTCTCCCATAGAATGTCTCTTGGGAAGTTTTCATCATTTGAATATGTGTCTTTTAAAATACAACAAAAACAATTTCCTCCAATACTCTTCATTGTCCTATACAAGCCACCGCAGTCATGTCACAGTTTTATTGATAATTTTACCGAGTTGCTTTCAGTTGTATGCACAGATTTTGATAGTTTGGTTATTACAGGTGATTTTAATATTCATGTGGATAATGTTGATTACAGAAATGCAAATGAGCTGAGTTCTGTACTTGAATCCTTTGATCTCACTCAGCACGTAAGTGGCCCCACCCACAGCAGAGGGCACACTCTAGATCTGTTAGTTACTAAGGGGGTAAATATTTCAAATGTAAACGTGGTCGATGTTGCTCTTTCGGATCATTTCTGTGTTTTTTTTGACATGTGTTTCACTAACAAACCACCAGTGGACTCTGCAACTGTACGAAGAAGACACATAAATGAAAATACGAGTGAACTATTTATGGGAATGATAAACTTTGAGAATGCATCGTATTCTACTGTAGATGAACTGTTTAACTCTGTCACCTCTAGTGTTTTGAATGTTCTGGATACCGTTGCCCCTGTGAAGGTTAAAATAGTGAAAAATAAGCAGAAGGCGCCGTGGGCTAAAGCAGACTCGGTCAGGGCACAAAAGAGAAAGTGCCGGAGGGCCGAGCGGAAGTGGCGCAAGTCCAACCTCCAGGTTGATTACGAGATCTTCAAAGATAAGTTGTGCGAGTTTAACCGGGTGCTACGTAGTACGAGAGAAAGGTATTTTTCTGAAATGATTGAAGGCTGCAGTAACAATCTGCGTGTTCTGTTCTCAACAGTTAATAGATTAACAAACCCCCCTGTTCAAATGCCATTAGAGCTTACTTCCAAACGTAAATGTAATGAGTTTGCACATTTTTTCAATGACAAGGTTCAAGGCATCAAAAACGCCATTGTCTCCAATCCACAGATAACCATCCAACAGCCAGAAAGGCTCTTTGAGCTAACTCACTTTGCACCTGTAAATGATAAAACTGTCCAAGAGATAATCTCCAGTTTGAGCTCCTCCACATGCAGCTTGGATGTACTACCCACTAGATTTCTGAAGTCTGTTCTGAGCAGTCTGTTACCTTCACTCACACAGATAGTAAACATGTCCCTTCATTCTGGAATATTCCCAAAGGCCCTGAAAACTCCAGTCATCAGGCCCCTGCTAAAAAAGAGCAGTCTCGATGCTACGGTACTTAACAACTATCGTCCAATCTCAAATCTGCCATTTATGGGGAAAGTCCTTGAGAAAGTTGTCTACCTACAGCTTACTAGATTTCTTATAATCAACAACTCATTTGATATGTTTCAGTCCGGCTTTAGACCCCACCACAGCACTGAGACTGCTCTTGTTAAGGTTACAAACGATATCCGGCTGAACACTGACGCAGGCAAAGTCTCAATCTTAATCTTGTTAGATCTAAGTGCTGCCTTTGACACTGTCGACCATGAGATCCTCTTACAGAGACTAGAGGACTGGGTTGGAGTCGCTGGCACCGCCCTAAGTTGGTTTAGGTCTTACCTTGAGGACAGGAAGTACTTTGTGGAGATTGGAAAATGTGTCTCAGATCATATGGCCCTTACCTGTGGAGTACCACAGGGGTCAATCCTGGGACCTCTTCTGTTCAATCTCTACATGCTGCCGATAGGTCAGTTAATACGCAGAAACGAAGTTTCCTATCATAACTATGCAGACGACACTCAGATCTATGTCTCACTGACTGCAGGAGAACATGGACCAGTGGACTCACTCCTTCACTGTATCCAACAGATCAGTGAGTGGATGAAAAACAACTTCCTTCAGCTAAACGCAGACAAAACTGAAATGATTGTCTTTGGTCCCCAGAAACAAAGAGAGAGCGTCATCTGTCACCTACAGTCTCTCTCCCTAAAACCTTCAAACAAGGTCAGAAATCTAGGGGTAATACTGGACTCAGACTTAAATTTTAATAGCCACATCAAATCAGTAACATCAGCAGCTTTTTACCATCTAAAAAACATTGCCAGGATCAAAAACATAGTGTCTAAAGCAGACCTGGAGATTCTTATCCATGCATTTGTCTCCAGTAGGTTAGACTACTGCAATGGCCTGCTCACAGGTCTGTCCAAACAGGCTGTAAAACAGCTACAATACATTCAAAATGCAGCAGCTCGAGTCCTGACAAGAACCAGGAAGTACGACCACATTAGTCCAGTTCTCAGGTCTTTGCACTGGCTTCCTGTGGCTCAGAGAATAGACTTTAAAACAGCTCTGCTTGTGTACAAGTCTCACCATGGCCTCGCACCAAAATATATTAGTGACATGTTAGTCCCATATGAACCAGCCTGGACTCTGAGGAGCACAGGGACTGGACTCCTGTTAGTGCCCAGAGTCAGAACTAAACATGGGGAGGCTGCTTTTCAGATTCATGCTGCTAAAACCTGGAACAGTCTTCCTGAAGATGTGAGACAGGCCTCCTCTCTGACAATGTTTAAAACCAGGTTAAAGACAGTTCTGTTTGGCTGTGCATACAACTGAGGGATTTTATATTTGTATCTTTCTTTTTAATGTTCTGTGATTATTTATGATTTTAATGCTTTCTTGTTTTGTTCAGCACTTTGAATTGCCTTGTGTATGAATTGTGCTATATAAATAAACTTGCCTTGCCTTGCCTTGCCTTACCATCTGAGAGACTCCAAGCTGTCATAGCTGTTAGAGTGGACATACACGTTGTTGAGAACCAGGGAATGGAAATTTCTAATCAGAGACAGCGGATTAGTTTCTGTTGTCATTATAATTTGAAAATAAATAAACAAATGTATTGGACAGTATGAAATGTCTTCCCACAACCAAAAAGTGTCATCTTTCATAATCTCCGAATAATCAGAAATACCTCCTTGGTGTGTAAACATTCAAACACAACCGTATCCGTAACCGTGTATCTTAACATCTAGAGTATGTCTGACGGCCCCTAGCCCTCTTATGGCCCTATTATGAAGCGGTTTGCAGAAATTTGAACTTTTCACCAAATGCAGAGTTTGGTGACATGCATTTTCAAAATGTTCCTAAAAGTATAGAAATGTCCCGTCATGTAGGTAAAAAGAAATTATCCCAAAAACACAAATATAATAGATTTAATAAAAGCAAATACATGCAAAATCCACAGTAAACAACAAAAGGTAACCAAACAGGGATCGAGGACAATAACTAAAACAGACAGGAAGTGAAGGACGACGGGGTTTAAATACTGGACTAAGGAGACACAGGTGATACGCGGGGCAGGTAATTAGAAACAGGAAGTAGAACTAAAGATAAAGATAAAGATAAAATACAAAATAAAACAGGAAATGAACCTAAACCATGAGATGTGCAGAGCTGTTACTATGATTGAAAGATTGAAATGTGTGTTGATAGTTGAACTTGGTGAGTGAATGTTGAATTATTTGGTTGCAGGTACTTCTTTGCTGTGCTGGCCATCCTCACCGTCCTGGGAGTGCTCAATGGACTGGTGCTGCTGCCCGTCCTGCTGTCCTACTTTGGGCCATATCCAGAGGTAAATAGGACACAAAATCTAATCTTTGTATCTTATTGATGGAAATGAACTAAACATAATGGTGTTGACTGATACATCTTTTTAATTAGTTCATTTATATTTGATTTTATTATTATTATTGTGTTGCGCAAGAGCAACATTTTACCTGTTTTGGATGTTTATTTGTATTGCACAGTTCATACACAATGTAATTATTCTCTATTCTTTCTTCTCTCTTATTTCTCTCTGTCAGGTCACTCCGGTGGATGGACGCAGTCGGCTGCCCACTCCGGAGGCGCGCCCCCCTGTTGTGCGATTCTCTGTCCGTCCTCAGCCTCAGACCACAGGAACCAGCAACCACACGTCAGGGACCACATCAGACTCCTCGGACTCTGAGTACAGCTCTGTCAGCTCAGCGTCTGGGACCAGCCAGGTGCCCCCCTCACAAAGACGACACATGGACTGCAGGAGGGGGCCCAGGAGCCGGCACAGGCAGCACGAGCCTCCAGCTTATACTATATCCTCAGTAAGTACAATAGGTGGTCACATTCAGGTGTCTTTAAATTCAATGTAATTAAATATAAACATTATATGTACCATATTAAACCTGCTCCTGTATAGGTCAAGTCTAAAGTTAAAGTTGAAAGTGAAAATCACCCAAATCATATTTTTCTAAGCAGTTGTGGTTTGAATGATATGAGACATATTGTAATTCTCTTGCTTTGCTCCACAGAGTGTCTCTCCTCAGGGATGTGATCCGGGGCCTCACATGGGGGGTCCTCAATGGAACAGGGACTCTAAGAGCCACAGACAGGCTCCGCCCCCTGCCCCGCCCCCAGCCCGCCCGCGCATGGACGCCTTTGAAAGTGCTACTGAGGCTGGGGGCCACAGAGAACACTCATCAGGCCCCAGAGCCCCCTCATCACATCACCTCCACCACCAGCCCATCACCACAGTAACAGCCTCAGCCTCTGTTACCGTGGCTGTTCACCCCGCCCCTCCCACCACCACCTCTTACCCATCATACACTGCAACGGACAGTTACAGCTCAGGCAGCCCCCGGGGGCCAGGGCACACCTTTCACGACCCCCATGTTCCACTGGATCCTCAGTCAGGCGCCAGAGGGTCCCGAGAACCCAGAGAGTCTAGAGAGTCCAGAGAGCCCAGAGAGTCCAGAGAGTCCCGGCCTGAGGCCATGGAGCTGCAGGACCTGGAGGCGGGGGACCGCAGTAGCCGACGAGTCAGCTGAGGTCAGTGCAGTTCATTAGATTATTACAGTTTTTTCTTATTCCAGTTGCGACGAGGAACATGCTTCTGACTCACATGTTTTGTGTTGCAGTTGTGCTGATGGACGTCAGAACGGCCAAAGATGGATGTTACTCAGCAGTGAGCCTTCAGTGGACGCTGCCAGTGCTGCCGTCATGGTGCTTATTCTTACTGTAACACAGTGGACTATTTCATAGATATTTCTATCTATATTTAAAATGTACACATATGTAAATATGAAAGAAAGTAGCTATAATTTAGGAGCTGTACAACTCCTCATAAAAAACTGGGGCTGCCGTTTTGTGTGTGTGTGTGTAGGTGTGTGCGTGCGCATGTGTGTGTGTTTGTGAAAAAGAGATTACTGTTTTCACTGTGGATCTGTGCCATTTAAAGCTCCATCCCGTCAGAAAGAAAAGACATGATAAATACTATAAAAGTCTATGCAAATATCTCTTTACAAATCCCCTGCCAACAGTGTGTGTGTGTGTGTGTGTGTGTGTGTGTGTCTGACGTTAGATGGATGATTGTTTTTACATGTGAATGAATGATTATTTTAAAGGTACGCATGGTTAAATATGAATTTATCACAAACCTGTGGTAGTTATGAATCAATACTGTTGACTTGACACGCTATGCGTGCTATTTAAGACGAGAACATATGAAGACATTTTGGGCTTTTCATTTTGATTCTTTTAGTTGCTTCTGCATTGGAACCTGTTTTATCAGCTTAGTATCATGGATGTTTTAAAACAGTGCCACCTCACAAATGTTTTTACATGACAGGGATTCTGTACAAGGTCCTCATGGGGCCCTCACTGAGACCCCAGATGACTGTGTCTAGTATAATAAGCTAAATTCTGACCGTATACTGTACATTCAGTTCAATAGGCACTTGACTGCATCAAAGTTCACAGATCCTCAGTCTCTGATCTTCTCTATCCAAGTATAAGCTGCGCCTCAGTGTCAGTGTGATTTACAACAGGGACTTCTGTCCCTGACCTCCTCAGTCTGCTCCTGGATCAGTGTCTTTATCTGCTCTCCATAGAACACCTCCTCCTGTATCTCTATGTCTGTTTTATACCCCCACTCCTGTCCTCTCCTCCTCCCGTCCTCGCCTCCTCCTTTTCTCTTTGTGTCCCCCCTATCCAGTTCTCTCTCCTCCGGTCCTCCTGTTCTCTCCTGTCCTCTCTTTCTGTCCTCCTCCTCTCCTCATGTCCTTTCTCCTCCTGTCCTTTCTCCTCCTGTCCTCCTCCTCTCCTCCTCCTCTCACATACATCTAAACCATGTCTGGGCAGTTTCTGACAAACCATGTTGCGTCCGCTGCTTGCATGAGTAGTTTTTTGTGTTTGTTCCTCCCTATGTCACATTGGCAATTATGGAGAGAAGCATAGCTGGCAACTATTTTATCAATTGTATTGTTTTTGTTTTTGAGGTTCAATTTCAATATTTATATTTTTGTAATATAAAATGTTTTTTGTTGTCATTCTTGTTGTGATGCCAGTGGTTAACAAATGCAGGGATTATGATGTCTATTGAAAAACACTATTACAGTTTATTGTTTTACACAATGGAGTTTGATTTGTATAAAGTGCTTACTAATGTTAAATAGGAGAAAGAGTATATAACACTACATTACAGGTGTCATCATAGCTCTTAGAAGATGAAAGTCCAATTCAGTGGCTCAGACTTGGTTGGCTTGGATGTATGCTGTTTTCAGTTACAAAGATAAATGTATGCCATATAATTTATTTATATGAAAATTTATTTTTGTAGTGTACATAGTAGCGGTCAAGGTATTTGACAGAAGTATATTTTTAAAGAGTTTATATGTATTGATATACCATAACAGAAAAGGTACACGCTTTCATTGCTAAGCTCTTGTCGACAACGTGGACACCTCCATTCAGTATTAGCCCCACAACTGTCACTGTGGCTTTGTCAAAGGCTCGCCATGAAAGTAGAAAGATGTACTAGCTCTCAAAATATAAATGTTCAAACACTGATAGAATTCTAACATAAAATATAACTTATTTGTCTTTTTTGTTCATACCTTAAATAAATGAACTCTTGGAAAGATATGGATTTGCTTGTGTTATTTTGTGTTCATTTTTACTGTTGGGTTGATATAGGTTTAGATTAAGCTCTAATTGTTAACATTAGGAAAAGGAATACACAATGCAACATAGTATTCAAATGTAGACGTTTTGAACAAGCAAAAAAATTCTCAGTTAAAGTTTTAATGATTTATTTTTAATCATATACAAAAAGTTATGCTTGAAAGTTTTTTGTGTAAATAAATCCCCCACTCATTGTAGCGGTTATGTGAAACCATACATCATCAAATAAACAAGCTTTCTGATTTCAAATTATGACAGAATTGAGCCGATTTTGGGAAATCTCAAATGCGCTGTTCATGCAAGGCGGCCCAGGAATTTACAGGTTCTAAAGGCTTTTTGTGATGTAGAATGGGCAGCTTTACCATCGGAGAGGAAGCAGAACCTTATCCCGAACTACTACAGAGGACTCCAAGCTGTTATAGGTGTTTAAGTGGCAACTTAAAGGGGAATGGAAACTTCTAATCAGGGTCATTGAAAATATAATACATGTTTACTTGACAATAAATGGCTTCACATAACCACGAAAAAAGAGAGAGAAAAGTGCAATCTCCAAAATATGGCTCCAAACAAATCATTTCTGCTTTGATCTGTAATCTGCAGACATAAACTAATAACATGAATCTCATCCAAACTGCAAACAAATCTTATGTCTGTGTATGAAGAATAGCAGCAGGTGAACAGAGCCCTCTCTCCCTCTGCTTGTCCCACCCCACATCTGGATGTCACCCCTCCCTGAAGGCCCACCCAGCTCCGCCCCCTACCTTTACTCCCTAGTCTGCCTGATTTTGATTGACAGCTTTATAGACTGCAAGGAAATTGGTTGTAGTTACAATACGGCCAGTCTGTTTGGAGTAATGGAACAAGACATGTGCCCTACAGCTTGTGTCCTGAGACTCACAGAGAAAGAACTTAAGACTGCATGGGTGGCACGTTTCTGTCTCAAACGTTTCGTCATGATTGTATATAGAAGGATATGAAACTGGGTCGGCAAAGTATCGAATCGTCCAACTATCAAAGCACGATAAGCGCCGTTATTATTTGTATTTGTCCAAACATGATTGACGTAAACATACAGGTTTAACACATACTGCGTGCGAAATCGCTTGTTTGAGTTTTTAGCCATATTAAAACATCAAAAACTGACCTGAAGTTGTTTTTAGATCTACCCACACCAATGCCACAGACTTCTGGCACAAACATGTAGCTCCGACCCTTCTGTTTAAAAGCTTCAGTCTCAGTCCTGTAAGTCCTTTTTCAAGTAAAATTAGATTATTTTGAATTACATGTGTGTTTTCAAGAATTTTCTAATTTGAGAAAAAAAAAAAATAAGACAATTCTATCTCTCCCTCTGGTGGTAGCATCGGGAGTTACAGGCAGGCTGATTTTTTGTACCCTTGACTGTTTCTAATTGAGATGTTATTTCACATACTAAAACATGAAATGACAAAGTAAACAGTCTCATTATCTTTTTGAAAAGACAAAATGAAGCAAAAGTTTCATCTTTACGTAATACAGGTATATACAAAAGAAAATCATGAATGAAGGAAATAGTAAAAAGAAAAATCACTTCATTCAAATAATTTCAGAAAGTAGATTTCATAGACTCCACTCTCTGAAAAGTCATACAAAAACGTTCTTTTTCTCAATATTATGTATATTTTGAGATCTGTTCCCCTGCATGTTTCAACGTGTATAGATGCTCCCACAGAATTCAATGAGTTTGCCCACCGTGTCACATCATTGGTGATCAAAAAAACTTAAAGTATATCAAATATCATTTCACAAATTGAACTGAGAAAGTTCTGTAAGACTATTTTGCATTGTGCACACTGGGGACTCTTGCAGGTGTATTCCAATATGGTTTTGCTGCAAATGGAAAATAAAATTAATCTTAATCTGAACTGACTCACTGATTTTTTACACTGATTATTGTGGCGTATTCAAACCATGTATGACAGGTAGATTCTCCTCAAACTATTGTAACTATTTGAAGAAGGCATTATATATGATATATAATAGGGAGTAAACCTTATTTTCAGGCTTCTTCTCTGACGAAGAGGAAGACTGGGGAGTGTTCTGTGTCTCCTCTGAAGCCTTTTTACTCAGACTGACGTTTTTATTCTCGCTCCAAAATGGAAACATGCGGACAGGTGTGACTGGTAAAGACCACGTGGAGCTCTCTGCACTCACACGCTGATCAGAGGCCGCGGAAATGGGAAAAGGATGCCGTGGAGCGGCAACTCTACACAAAGCCTAAAATGCACAAATGAAATCAAAGTCTTTCGAGCTATAGCTTGCTCCCACTTTTAAGGCATTTCAGAAATATAATCAAAAATATCATCCTTATGTTTGTGGTTGTAAATATGACAAAAATGTGCAACATTTCAAGTAACATAGTACTTTTGCAAGACAATACATCTTTGGAGAAGCTTAGAGTAGAGTTTTGTTTTTTAATCCCAAGGTTTTTTTTTATTCTAGCCCTTTACCAAATGCTTGAGATGAAGTTTGGTATTACAGTAAATGTGCCTACAACCAAGTGATAGATAGATAGATAGATAGATAGATAGATAGACGGACAGAACGACGGATGGAGGGACAGACAGACACACATAGAAAGATAGATAGATAGATAGATAGATAGATAGATAGATAGATAGATAGATAACACAGATAGAGAGCCCTTTTCAAAAAGGCAGCATTACTCCAGTGGATTTTTGCATGATCCACTTGGTTTGGACCGGGTGTAAAACACTGTACTGCAGCAACATCTCAGGTAGAAAAAAGCAAGAAAAATAATAATTGTAAAACTCAAAACTGTTTCAGAGCGACTTGCTACTGTTTTACAGCGCATTAAAAAGAAAAAAATTAAGATGCCCCAATGAGGTACATTTCAGTTCCAATCTTCAAGTAGATCCACCAAATGGTTGAGGAAACTATAAAAGGGTTAAACTTAAAAGTAATGTAAAGGGATTTTGACCCTCTCAGCCTATAATATCAAACACTGTAGTGATTCACAAGGCTCTATATGTTTATTAATAAAGTCAGTTTAGATGAATAGGGTATGCATGTGGACTTCTTCAATTATTCCTGTATAATATTTGGTTGTACACAATTAGACAGAATATAAAAAACGGCAAAAACACATTCCTCCCCCTTGGACTGCCACCTTAACGTGGTGGGGGAGTTTGAGCACTCGGATGATCCTGGGAGCTATGCTGTCTGGGGCTTCATGCCCCTGGTAGGGTCTCCCATGGCAGACAGGTCTCAAGTGACGAGTCAGACGAAGCGCAGTCCGAAGCCAACCATGGACAGCACGATAACGAAAAACCGTGACGTCGCCCGGCATGGCGCAGCCGGGGCCCCACCCTGGAGCCAGGCCTGGGGTCGGGGCTCGCAAGCGAGCGCCTGGTGGCCGGGCCTTAGCCCACGGGGCCCGGCCGGGCTCAGCCCGAAGGGATGACGTGGGCAGTCCCTCCTGTGGGCCCACCACCTGCAGAGGGGTCCGTGGTGGCGTGGTGCAGCGAGGACTGGGTAGCAGTCGAAGGCGGAGACCTCGACGACCCAGTCCACACACCCAACATCTGGCTCTTGGGACGTGGAACGTCACCTCACTGGGGGGGAAGGAGCCCGAGCTTGTGGGGGAGGTTGAGCGATACCGACTAGAGATAGTCGGCCTCTCCTCCACACACAGCTTGGGCTCTGGAACCCAACTTCTTGAGAGGGGTTGGACGCTCCACTTTTCTGGAGTTTCCCGCGGGGAGAGGCGGCGAGCGGGGGTGGCCATTCTCATTGCCCCCCATCTCAGCCGCCACGTGTTGGAGTTCTCCCCGGTGAATGAGAGGGTCGCGTCCCTCCGCCTCCGGGTGGGGGACAAGTCTCTGACTGTTGTGACGGCCTACGGGCCTAACGGTAGTGCAGAGTACCCGGCCTTCTTGGAGTCCTTGGGAGGGGTACTGGATAGTGCACCGCCCGGGGACTCCGTTATTCTCCTGGGGGACTTCAACGCCCATGTGGGAAATGCCAGTGACACTTGGAGAGGGGTGATCGGGAAGAACGGCCCCCCTGATCTGAACCCGAGCGGTGTTCAGTTGTTGGACTTCTGTGCCAGTCACGGCCTGTCCATCACGAACACCATGTTCGAGCACAAGGGTGTCCATCAGTGCACGTGGCACCAGGACACCCTAGGCCGGAGGTCGATGATCGACTTTGTTGTCGTATCATCTGACCTTCGACCGCGTGTCTCGGACACTCGGGTGAAGAGAGGGGCGGAGCTGTCAACCGATCATCACCTGGTCGTGAGTTGGATCCGCTGGCAGGGGAAGAAGCCGGTCAGACCTGGCAGGCCCAAGCGTGTAGTGAGGGTTTGCTGGGAACGTCTTGCTGAGCCCCCTGTCAGACGGACTTTCAACTCACACCTCCGGGAGAGCTTCTCCCAGGTCCCGGCGGAGGAGGGGGACATTGAGTCCGAGTGGACCATGTTCTCTTCCTCTATCGCCAATGCTGCGGCTCGTAGCTGTGGTCGCAAGGTCTCTGGTGCTGGTCCCGGCGGCAATCCCCGAACCCGGTGGTGGACACCGGCAGTAAGAGATGCCGTCAGGCTGAAGAAGGAGTCCTATCGAGCAATGATGGTTCGTGGGACTCCTGAGGCAGCTGTCCAGTACCGGCAGGCCAAACGTGCCGCGGCCCGGGCTGTTGCAGAGGCAAAAACCCGGGACTGGGAGGAGTTCGGAGAGTCCATGGAGCATGACTATCGGTCGGCCTCGAAGAGGTTCTGGCAAACCGTCCGGCGCCTCAGGAGGGGAAAGCAGTTCTTTGCCAACACCGTGTATGGTGCGGGTGGAGGGCTGCTGACCTCGACTGGGGATATTGTCGGGCGGTGGAAAGAATACTTCGAGGTTCTCCTCAATCCCCCCGCCACGTCCTCCGTCCAGGAGGCAGAGGCTGAGGATGTTGGGGCGGACACTTCTATCTCCCTGGCCGAGGTCACCAAGGTGGTTGGCAGCCTCCATGGTGGCAAGGCGCCGGGAGTGGATGAGATCCGTCCTGACTATCTAAAGTCTCTGGATGTTGTAGGACTGTCTTGGCTGACACGTCTCTGCAGCATCGCGTGGCGATCGGGGGCGGTGCCAATGGAGTGGCAGACCGGGGTGGTGGTCCCTCTCTACAAGAAGGGGGACCGGAGGTTGTGTTCCAATTATCGTGGGATCACACTCCTCAGCCTCCCCGGTAAGGTCTACTCCAAGGTACTGGAGAGGAGGCTACGTCCGATGGTCGAATCTCGGATTCAGGAGGAGCAGTGTGGTTTTCGTCCCGGTCGCGGAACACTGGACCAGCTCTCCATCGGATACTCGAGGGTTCATGGGAGTTCGCCCAACCTGTCCACATGTGCTTTGTGGATTTGGAGAAGGCGTTCGACCGTGTTCCCCGGGGTGTCCTTTGGGGGGTCCTCCGGGAGTACGGGGTCCGGGGTCCTCTGCTGAGGGCCGTCCGGTCCCTGTATGACCGGAGTCAGAGCTGTGTTCGCATTGCCGGCAGTAAGTCAGACCTGTTCCCGGTGCATGTTGGCCTCCGCCAAGGCTGCCCTTTGTCACCGGTTCTGTTCACTGTATTTATGGACAGAATTTCTAGGCGCAGCCAGGGGCCGGAGGGGGTCCGGTTCGGGAACCACAGGATTTCATCTCTACTTTTTGCGGATGATGTCGTCCTGCTGGCTCCAACGAACCAGGACCTGCAGCATGCACTGGGACGGTTTGCAGCCGAGTGTGAAGCGGCTGGGATGAGAATCAGCACCTCCAAATCCGAGGCCATGGTGCTCGACCGGAAAAAGGTGCCTTGCCCTCTTCAGGTGGGTGGAGAGGTCCTTCCTCAAGTGGAGGAGTTCAAGTATCTCGGGGTCTTGTTCACGAGTGAGGGAAGGATGGAGCGTGAGATTGACAGGCGGATCGGTGCAGCGTGCGCAGTGATGCGGTCTCTGTATCGGACCGTTGTGGTAAAGAGGGAGCTGAGCCGAAAGGCGAAGCTCTCGATTTACCGGTCAATCTTCGTTCCCTCCCTCACCTATGGTCATGAGCTGTGGGTAATGACCGAAAAGAACGAGATCGCGGATACAAGCGGTCGAAATGAGCTTCCTCCGCAGAGTGGCTGGGCGCTCCCTTAGAGATAGGGTGAGGAGCTCAGTCACACGGGAGGAGCTCGGAGTAGAGCCGCTGCTTCTCCACGTCGAGAGGAACCAGTTGAGGTGGCTCGGGCATCTGTTCAGGATGCCTCCTGGACGCCTTCCTGGGGAGGTGTTCCGGGCACGTCCCACCGGGAGGAGGCCCCGGGGAAGACCCAGGACACGCTGGAGAGACTATGTCTCTCAGCTGGCCTGGGAACGCCTTGGGGTCCCCCCGGACGAGCTGGAGGAAGTGTGTGTGGATAGGGAAGTCTGGGCGTCTCTGCTTAGACTGCTGCCCCCGCGACCCGGCAACGGATAAAGCGGAAGAAAATGGATGGATGGATGGATGGCAAAAACACATCTTATTTTGCCTCCTACTGTAATTAAACGATGAAGATGAAGAGATCCTTTATTCGTCCCACAGTGGGGAAACATCATATTCCACATCATACACAAAACCTGAGTGCTTTCCAAGGCATCTGCTCTGCCTCAGGACTCAACTCTATTTGTCTAAAATATCGCTGTATCAACAACCGTGAGATGCCTCGCACAGATTTATTTTTCTGAGAATGTGTAAATCCGGCCTTTAGGTTTGGCAGCAGTGTGTGCGTGTGTGTGTGTGTGTGTGTGTGTCCTACGTTACATTTCAACACGGCAATCCTTCTTATGCCGCTTCCTTCGCTCTCAGGCTGAGCTCGAAGGCTGTCGATGACGGACAGAGCCCTCAGAGAAGCACAGGGGCGATGGATGGAGGAGAAGACGAGAGAAGGAGACACTCAGGGGAGATGAGAGAAGAGTGGATCAAATCTATACTCACAAAGTCCAGCTCTGGTTGAAATACACTGTGATGTTGACACTAATGTTTGGTTTTAGTGTGGAACTGTTTCTTATCATGCATTTTCCATCACTTATCTTTGTTACTTCTTGCCTTTCACAGTAGATGGATGCATACTTGTTTTAATACAAGGAACACAAATGCTTTTGCTTCTTCCTACTCCCTTTTGAACATGTGAATGGAACAGAAATTTGGTTTTGTTTGTACAATTATATATATAATGTGCTCACGTGTTTCAAAAAATAAACAAAATTAAGTATGTGGCCACTATCAATTACGACATAAAAATAGGTCCATGACAAAAACAAATCAGACGAATTGATACTCATACATAATCTGTGTATTTCAGAAACAAATCAAACATCAGAAAGATATGTTGAATTTACACTCCTTGGCATCAAAACCCGCTGTTGAGAAGCTGGTGAGTGAGGGTGGGCAGCTATGGTGTGAGTAATGACCACCATTTCTATTTTAAAAGGATCTTGTTGTCGATAGTTACCTCTGTTGTATTTTTTGCCACTTCCACCAACTTAAATTGTAATAAAAGCGTACTTGAGAGCAGAATCTGACTGATACACGTTTTTTGTGGGTTTTGTTCTGTCTGTGGAACCATGGACCAGGACCATGGATCTTTACCCATCAACAGGTTCTTCATGGAGTGGTTTACCCGAGTCCATGTGCTTGGTGGTGGATTTGGAGAAGGTGTCCGACCCTGTTCAGGTGGTTCTCCAGAAGTACGATGTATGAGGTCCTTTGCTGAGGGCCATCTGTTCACATTGCCGGTAAGTCATATCTATTTAAGGCAATAAAGCAATACATACTTCTTTACACATGCAGTCTTGTTAGAAGAATCAGTCTTGTCTAGTAAGGCAGAACTGTTTAAGAGATCATTTGTTTGTCGCTCAGTGGGGAAATTTCCATTGCCATAAACAAGGATGGACCCAAAGGCAGAACTGCAAAAATAATATAATCTAATAAAGGTAAACAAGAAGGGTAATGGTTCAAGAAAATAAATTCAACAAAGCCTGGGATAAGACATGGCGAAAAAAACAACAATGGACCGTTAACGAGAGGATAGGAAAACAGGGTCTATTTCACGGATCTACTGTATTATAATATTGGTCTCTAAATACACATGGAGAGACACATCAGGGCGGGCGACAGACAGGAAGTAAAATTCACAACAAGAGCACAAATATATATCAGAATAACCCCAAATAAATTAACAGAAAGTCCACATGACAGACTGGGCAGCCAGAGGCCGCAGGGGTTCCCGAGATGGGGACAACAGGTTTTTATCTCTCATGTTTGTGGCTCGTATTGTCCTGTTGGTTGATCCTCAAGCCGCGACCTGTGACCTCCTGTGAGGGAAGGATGGAGGAGAGAGAGATTGACAGATGGTCAGTGTGGCATCTGAAGTGAAGTTGCTGTTTTGGACTGTTTGCGGTAAAGAAGGAGCTGAAAGACACAACTTTTTGATCTGCTTTTTGTCAATCTACATTCCCAGCCTTAACTGTGGGCATGAGCTTCGGGTAACGACCAAATGAATAAGACTGAAAGCAGACATATTGAAATTGTATCATATGGTGAAGTGAAAGAGGCCCCAAAAAACGGGAATGCTAAAAAAATTATTCAATGAAGATAATGAACTAAAAGCCTAGGGTAAAAATGAATCAAAAATCAAAATGAGACTTGGGAACACACGCACAGACATGGACCAGCAACAAGGGAAGAGGAGCACAGGTACATATAGACACAGAGAGACACATTAGGGAGGGGCAGACTATCAACCAGGGGAACAGGACAGGAAGTGAAACTAAACTAAAACCACAGAGAAATAATTCAAAATAAAACCAAATAATATAAAAACAAAAAACCCACACCATGACAGTTTTCTCCGTGGAGCGCCCGGCAGTCGCTTTAGAGATTGGTTGTTGAGCTCAGAATAGAATTGCTGCTCCTTCATGTGGAGAATAGCCTGTTTTGGAGGCCTTCTACACGTTTCAGACATGGCCTTGGATTCCCCCGAGTCCCCTGAGATAATTACGTCCTCTGAGATAACTACTGTTGTCATTTAGGGCTATACAAGAATACATTGAATTGACCTGAACGAGCTGAATGAGATGAGAGTGGAAGAAAAGGTGTCGATGGATAAATACCGAATAATAATTTAATTAGATGTACAGCACCTTCACAGCCACATGTTCTGTGAAAAAAACAATCATCCAAATTACGCCTGCTGCCATGTTTGTCAAATTAGTTTTATCAACAATGAGATGAAACAGTTCAAAGTCATTTGCGAAATACACTCAATCAGCTTTGGACTAAGAAGCCTATAAAAGCATTAATAATTGGTAATCCATCTGCACACAAATACATTGACTCTCCATACACTACAGTAATGAACTAGAGCCAGGGGAATTATAAGAATTTTTATAGCAACACATTCTCTTTTAATAGACATGTGTTTCTAAGCAATAACAGATCATATTTACATCACAGAGCTCTCCAGAAATCCTGCATTCACAGACGAGGGGGACGAGCTGACATGATTAAGTCATCTGGAGATAGGAGACATGTCTTTGAGAATTCTTGGTTTAACAAAGGGACAAGTTAAAGGAAATAGAATAGCATAAGGGAGCATCATACCCATCAAGTGTACTGTGTGCTAAAGTTATTATATACTTGCTTCTTTATTATGCTAAAGTTAGAGATTTTATAATTCTTTGTTATGCTAAAGTGAAATATGCTGTACTTGCTTCTTTAATATGCTAAAGTTAGAGATTTTGTACTTGCTTCTTTATTATGCTAAGGTTGGAGATTTTATACTTAATTCTATATTATGCCAAAGTAGGGGTTTATAATTGTTCACTTATCTTTTGCTGTGAGCTCATCATTCCTACTGTCCTGTAACTGATGATGCAACACTGAAATTTCCCCACTGTGAGATTGACAACATTCCGCTTGTGTTATTGATGCAAGTATGGTCAAAAACGTCCTATTAAAAAAATATAACTATAAATCAGATGCAGTTGGTGTAGGTGATTGTTGTGTGTCGAAAAGCAAAACTCTCGATGTAGTGATCAGTCTACATTCCCGCTCTCACCTACGGTCACGAGAGAAAGGTAAAGACAGACAGGACATGATTGTTTAATGGTGGGGTCTGTAAATCCTGCGCCTATCCACGTGAAACCAAAACCATTACAAATTTCTACATCTTCCTTGTCAGTGCAAATCAACTATGGTCAAACTATTTCCTCATGAAGTTGTCAAGAAGTGGTGACGGAAGGATCTCATTTTAGAGGCGAGAGTCACCATTGTAGGTGGCTCAGGTATCTGTTTCAAATGCCTCCTTCTTTTAAAAGACCCCAAACATAAAAAACAAATCTGGTAGTATATACAATAAGGGGCGAATTACAATTATCAAGGTTTATTTGAGCATAATGGAGATGTCTTGAGATGTTCAAATAGTGAGAAAGCTGATGACCTTTCATAACGACAGCTGTAATAGGTTCAGTGCTGGATCTGGAGACGGGTGAGAAGTGGGGAGCTGTGTGACTGGTGGGTGGGAGTGTCCATCTGAGAGTAATTAGAATGAGTGACTTTGTTTACTCCCATTTCCCTTTGCATCATTTATTCTGGATTTGTGGAAAAACCAGTCGCCCTCTCTCTCTCTTTCTCTCTCTTTCTCTCTCTCTCTCTCTCTCTCTCGCTCCCTGTGTGTGGGGATTCTTCCTGCTGCTTTTCCAAATCATATTGAAGAAGATGACATAGTCTGGGATCGCGTCTTACATTCAGACAGAAGACATGTTTTATTGTCGATGGTAGAGACAGCACGAACAACACGAACAACAGAATGCAAGTGTATTATACAGAGCGGAGGCATGGAGACCTCCAATCAGCAGCTGCCACGGTGCCATGTAGCTTGGCCTTCAGATAGACAAAACAAGGGAAAAGTACAGGCTTCTGCACATTGATAGAATGATGAGTTTAACTTTAACAAAAGTTGCTTCAAAGTGTTATGAAATCTCATATTCCCCTCTCTGGTCATACATTCACGTGTGACCATCAGGATTGATAAACAGCAACATAACATCATAACTCAATACTTCAACTCGGTACTTCAAAAAACTCAGAACTCAGAACTCAATACTTAAACTCATAAAACTCATAAAACATGTTCAGATCTTTCATAAAACTTGTCAACAATCTTCAGTAAAATACCAAACTTCATCAGTCGATGGTTCCAGATATTGCTTTGAAAACAGTCTCTCCCACTTCTCCGTGTTGGATTCTTCAGGCTGCATTTGTGTCGAGCCATGAATTCTTCTGTGACGTGTTATTTCAATCACACGTTTCAGCTTCAGTGTCCAGATTCAGCAATCCAATTCAGTCCAAATTATGTCCAAATTCAGAAATCCAGATTGTTCCAAATTATGTCCATGCAAAAGAGGACGCTGGTCTTGTCCATATCTCAGCAGCTC